AACCATTATTCTGAACTCTGTATCTAGTAGCTTGCTTGGCTCTATTTCATTTAGTTCCTTTTCTGGAGATTTCTTCTGTTCTTTCCTTTGTGACATGTTTCTTTGCCTCCACATTTTGGCTGCTTCCAGGTGCTTGTTTCTATGTATTAGGTAGAGCTGCTATGTCTCCTGAAATTGGTAGCGTGGCTTTACATAGTAGATGTCCTGTGGGGTCCAGTGGCTCAGCCTCCCCAGTTACCTAAGCTGGACCTTGTGGATGCTCCCCTGTGTGGGCTGTGTGCACTATCCTGTTGTAGTTGAGTCTTGGTTGCTGTTAGCATCACTGGGAGGAACCGACCCCCAGGCCAATAGGCTGTGAGGACCAGCTGCAGCTACAGCCAAAGAGCTGCTGTGCTGGAGACACCCCTGTGGAGCAGGATTTACTTCAGTGGAGCTTTGGTGTTCAGTGAATGTGCCCCTTGAGTGTGTAACTTGTGGATGTGGTAGGGTTGTAATCCAGTGTGGTCAAGTCTGACCACCAGGTACACTGTCTTTGGGGCCTCCTGGGAGACGCAAAGTCAGCCTCTGTCTGTGCTTTGCCCAGGGCCACCCAGCATGAGCTACATAGCAAACAGTGGTTGGCTGCTACTTGTGCTGGGCTTGGAGGTGTCCAGGAGAGGCCAAGCTATGAACCAATGCAGGCTGCCACTAGTACCAGGCCTGGGGCCATTTATCAAGAGGTTAGGAGCACACTGAGGCCAACTACTGCTTGTTTGAGTCCAAAGCATGAGGCTAGAGAGGTTACTTGCATAGAAAAGCCACTGGGAATGGCTTTGATGAGCTTGCAAGTAGGGAGGAGTGGGGTCTCTGGGAATCACCAGGTTGGGGCCAAAGGTGTGAGTCACATTGCTGGAGATTCAAATATAGTGCCTGCCTGCTGGTTCTGTGGGAGAAGGGCTCACTAAAGGAGCAATGGCCTCTGCTAGGTCTTCTGTCTGGGAGAAAGCTGCCCCTCCAGCTCTCACCCTGATTTCAGGCAAGTTAGTTCCTCCCTGAACGTCCCAGGTTCGTTTCTAGCTGCTGCCCAGAGCTGGGGCTCAGAGGGAGCACGTATGAGTGAGCCTGTGCGCCGGCCCTTTAAGAGGAAAGCCTGGGACTCCCGCAGCCTCTGTGTTACTCAGAGGCAGTCCTCGCTGGTTTTTACAGCCTGAAGTGTAGGGACTTCTCTTCCTCGCCCTGGAACCCTGGGCTGGGAGTCCTGTTGTGGGGCTGGGACCCCTTGCTCCTCCGGGAAAACTCCACCACCGAGATATCGCTCCTGGTTTTAAGGCAAGGGGTGCAGGACCGTGGCCTCGTCTCAGCAATTCAGCCCAGATCAGCCCATGTCTCTGCCCCTCCTACCAATCTCAATGCTTCTTCAGTTCCCTGGTTGTAGGACTTCTGTTCAGCTAGATTTCAGGAGGTTCTGAGTGATGGTGGTTCTGTATTTTAGTTGTAATTTTGATGTGGTTGTGGGAGGCGGCAGGTACCACTTACCTATGCCACCATCTTTTTGTCTTGTCTCTCAGGATTCGAATATTTCATATCAGCATGAGCACCTTTAGTATATGCACGTGAGAAAGGGTATGTATGATGTTAGGTAGACAAACACAGTGCCCTACAACAGATACTATACACTGTTCTACTCCCCTTTACCTTGCTGACAATGCACGTGCACATACCATGCCTCCGCCACCACCTGCTGCTCCTTTTGTGTTTTATGTGTTTGCCCTTCCTTCATGTGGCTCAGGGAAGCATAGCCCTACTCTCAGTAGAGATAATTGTTCATCTAACAATTTTAGTTCCATTCCCCTTTCTATTGCTCATATTAAGAACATATAATAAATTCTGCTTAATAAAATTAGAAGGGAGTTTGTTGGGTGGAGGGTGAAGGAGGTGCCCGGGGAAAGATTTCTTTAACCAAGTAAAAGGAGACATGCAACACTTCTTCTACTGAATGTTGTCAACTCAGTTTCTATACCTGCATATGATGTCTGGCCCCTCGGCAGCCACTGTGGGCACGGAGTGAGTTTAACGTATGGCTGAATTGCTATGTGCAGAATAGCACAGTTTAAACAGAGAAAGAATTTGATGAGCTGAGGAACTAACTAGATTACCCCTACGTCCAGGCTTTTCAACATGTGAAACTACACTTTCCTTATTGTTTAAGCTATTTCATTTACTTTGAGTGTTTGTTACTTATAACTGAAAACATCTTAATTGATAAAAAAGACAAAATCTGCTTCAGGCCCTTTTAGTTGTCCAGTGGTTGTCTATTCCCCCACCCTTCCCTGTCTTCTTAGTTAACAGACTCCGATTCTGTCAGGGGGCTGGGGGGTGCTGCCAAACTCTACGCAATGGATTTAGCTATTCACCTAAGGTGATTGTGACAATCCTGTTTCCATTTTCCAGTAGCCCTAGCAACAGTCTCAGTTTAGCCAATAAAACAAGATAAAGTCAGCTGGCAGGGGGTTCATTTCTGGGGACACTTTTGCTTTCTTGATATAAAGTCCAGCTGACGCCAGGACTGACCCTTTCCCCACTTTTTCTTCTTCAATGCAGATAACCCCGAGGAAAAAGCCACTAGAATCACAGAGATGCCAACCTTGACACCACTCGCTATTGAAAGAACACCAGAAAACATCTACCATCTCCTTAAAAAACAAGTCTCTGTTTAAGTTCATGTTTGTTGGGTAATCTTAACTCATAACTAAAATAGGACCAAGTCAAAACCAGGACTATCAGGGTTAAAATCAGATGACTCATTCTTCTGTTCTAACTTGAGTAACTATCTTGCTGTAAAAGCACTGTAATCTATATCATAACATTTGATGCTCAAAATATTCCTGTTTATACCTAGGATAAGTGTTACCATTTCTATTTTCTAACAAGGAAACCAAGGTACAGGGAAATTCACTTTCCCAAGACACATTCAAGATAAAGATGAGGCTGAAGTCAAAATCATTTCCATTAACACCACTCTGCAATCCTTCTTAGTAATATCTAAAAAATAACATTTTTGCTACACTAGGTTTTTTCCCCCTATACTAGTTTTAGTTCTTTCTTTTCTTTAGGAGTAAATATTGTTCTTACCATTTAAAGCAACTACAAACTGAGGGCAAAAGGGAGAAATGGGGGACATCTGTAATACTGTCAACAATAAAAAATTAAAAAATAAAAATAAAGCAACTACAAACTAATATATTTTTTTAAAGGAAATTTAACAAATTTTGCTCTTTATCAGAGAAATATAATTCTTACTAAGATTTTTCACTTATGCCTGACAACTAATTACTAATTTACTTCATCTAAATAAGTTTATTATAGAACAACCTGAGTCAGGTGGGGAACGAGAATCTTGTACACATTGCCTCTCTGTCATCTATAGATTAAGCACTTCGTAAATAACAAATGAGAGTACCTGGAAGCAAGGTAGCAAATATAAATATTAATTCAATTCATCTTCAAAACTACGACGGCTCTGGTTGATGCTGATCAACAAGGCATATAACAACAAATACTAAAATAAAGGTGTTTTATTAAATAATGTGGTATTTCATTTAAAAAGTGGCTTTTTGTGAGAGGGCTCTATATTCTAAGCATGGTAATAATAAGGACATTATACCTAAGACAAAATACAAAGAAGCTACAGAATTCATTATTATGTTTACCCTTTAAAGTGAAAATGTCAAAAGATTTATGCTGTTAATTACATTTTTTTTCTTGTTAGTAGATATTAATCCATATCACTGTGAACAAAAAATGAAAGAGAATCTGTAAAGTCACAAATTTAAGACAATAAAGATGTCCAATAAGTTCTATCTAAAATCCTTTTGCAAAATAGTACTTTCTTTTCAGTTTAAAATATTGTTCTAATTAAACTTTACAGGAAGAAGCTCACATGCAAACAGTCCATCTGGTCCTATGAGTTATCACAGTGACTTCCTGTTTGAACTTTCTAAACTATGAATATACCAGAGTAATACTGGTCATAAATAAAGCTGAGTACTTTATGAAGAAATTTTAGTATTTAGCACACATACGTGTCATTTATATTTCTGAAGTCTTTTAACAACAATAATTTAAAAAATTATTTACATTTATTCCTTATTGTATTTTAAAGGAGACAGGAATTCTAAACGAGACAGAAATTTTAAACTAAGTCTTAATTACCTATTACCCTGTACCTCAGCTACTAGGTCAGGTACTTTATTTTACACTCTACCTCGTTTAATCCTCACAAGACCTGATGCTACATATCACAATGCCTACATTACAAATAAGAGAATAGGTTCAGAGAGGCTCAGATTTTACACATACTGAAAATGTTTCTATTACAGTCAAGTTAGAAAATTATTTGGGAAATGTGTTCTTTGCCTCTTTCCTTAAAATTTATGCTGCCATAGTGGGCCAAACTGTTCAAAAAGGGACATGAGTTGAAACAGCAGTTGCAGGAATAAATTTTTTTTATATATACAGAAATAAATTATCTAAAAAGATGATAAGGTTGCTTAAGTGAACAATGGTTTACCTTGAACATGAGAAATGATGAATAGATAGGCTCCCAATAATGTGATATAAATGTACAGCTGAGTCATTGTTCAATTTCAATGTTTCCTGTACACTGTCACTTTTAATAACTGGTCTTGTTAGGTCACTAGTTTAGTGACTTTTATCCAATGAGATTTTCTTGTATAAGGTCTCAATGACTTTACAATGACTCCAATTCCCACTGCTTTCTCCTGACTCCTGGAAGATAAAAATATGGAAAAGGTAATGAATATGACTGAATTCTGAAAGGTTTTCAAAAACAAAGAAAGTAAAACAAATGCCCAAATGTAACTTTAAACAATTAAATATATATACATACATACATATATAAACTAAAAAAATTTTTTTAATCCTCACCCAAAAATATTTTTTCCATTGCTTTTCAGAGAAAGTGGAAGGGAGAGACATCAATGTGAGAGAGACACATTGATTGGCTTCCTCCCGCATATACCCCGACTGGGGCCAGGGATCAAGCCCGCAACCGAGGTGCATGCCCCTTGGCCGAAATTGAACCCGGAACTCTGCAGTCCATGGGCCAACACTCTAACAACTGAGCCAAACAGACTAGGGCACAATGAAATATATTTTTAAAGACTGAAGCTATCTTCGTTTTTTAAAAAAGACACCACCATGCAAAGGCCTAGGTAATTTAGTAATGGATAATCGCCACTCCGACCTTCGATCACCATATGTAAAACAGATAAACACACTAAATAATCCCAGTAGTCTTTTCTGGATGCTCTAAAGTAATTAAGTTGTTCTGTTACTACGAAGAAAATTTCTAAATATATTAAGAATAAACAGGAAAAGTTGAATTTAAAATACACTATTCATTAATAATCTTTCAAAACCTAGTAGATGTAATGAAAATGCCTTGAACCTTTCTATACACAGGAGGGAAAGCCTACCTAGAAAATCACACATTTAAATGTGCCATGTACTTTACCACAAAAGCACAACCAGTAGAAATGGACCTTAAATAAAATTATTTTCCTAAAATACTGCAAATCTGACTTTATTAAAATAAATTTGAGCTTTTAATACAGATGATGTGAAACATAACCTTTCCAATGATGGCTCAGCAATTATAAAATAGTTAGAAAAAAAAGGTTTGTATAAATGTAAACCTAATTCTCTTTTGCTCCATCCTATTGGTTCAGGCAACTTGATTTTATTGACTTCAGCCTGAATTACTGAATGAAAAAGACGTTATTTATTTATGACACAATTAACCCTGGTATAATTTCTACTATAAATAACCTGAGCTTCCTATTTTACCCACCTAAGAAATTTTTCCTTTTACTGGCTCTCCAAAGGCATTCACAGTATTGAAGAAATAAGGGTTACAGTGAGATGTCATTCATATTGCACATTTTGTATTTGGCTTAGTTCTAAAACCCCTGCAATTTCTCACTTCTCTACTGTGAAATTAATTTGCTTCCCATCTACACAGTGCTGAGTAAGATGCAGAGTCTGAGAAAATAACGGAGTAACACCTGCAATGTGACAACAGCATTTCTCGGGAAAATTTGACATTACAAATTATGATTCTAGAGACTTGTTCCAGGTTCCAAATTCAAAAGAAGTTTCCAGTGTATTACCAACCCTGTTGTCTATTTCTATTTGCCTATTAAATACCTTCATTAGGATTACACTCCACCTGTCTAAATCAAACTCATTAACTTTCCTTCTCACTCCTCTAGATCTGCCTCCTCTTCCTCCACTGGCTATCACAGTGAAGGGTGGAGCTCTCTGCCCAGCCACCTGCACCAAAACCTCTGGCATCATTTTTGCTTCCCTCTCCTGCTCTAGCTCTCACCCCCTCACAACACTTTTCCTTATTATTTATTTACTTATTTATTTTTGTTAATCCTCACTGGATATTTTTCCATTGCTTTTTATGAGAGAGTAGAAGGGAAGGGGGAGAGATAGAAACATCAACGTGAAACACATCAATTGGTTGCCTCCCATATGCACCCAGACTGGTGCCAGAGATTAAGCCTGCAACTGAGGTATGTGCCCTTGACCGGAATCGAACCCACAACCCTTCAGTCTGAGAGCCAATGCTCTAACCACTGAGCTAAACAGGTAGAGCACTTTTCCTTATTCATTCACTCACTTACCAACAGCATTTTTTGAGTACATATTATGCGTTAAGTGTAAGGTGCTAGGAAAACAAATTTGAGCAGGACAGTTTCTGCTTCAAGAAGCTCAGTCTTGGGGAGGGAGCTGACTGCTATGATTGATTCCATCTTTCAGTGTCAGTTTCTTCATCAACTTATTAAAACCAAGTATGTGGTCTTGTCTCATCAGAGGTACAACCAAGTCATCTTAGATGAGACTGAGCACCTGCCAACCTCACAGTCCCTCTCAGAGCAACAGGATTATGTGTGGCTCCTCCCACATAAACACCTGTGACTACTTGCCTTGAAGACCTGCCTTGAAGAAGTAACCTAATCTCTCTGCTCAGTTTCCTCATCTGTGGAACTGGAATTATATTATTAACTAGCAATTATTTTGAGAATTAAATGAGATAATAGCTAACACATAGTCACCGCTAACTATGCACCAGCACCATTATATATGCTTTGAATACATTAACATTAATTTATCAATTCGTCCCAACTACCTTATAAGACAGGTAACATTACATATGAAGAAATCAAGGCAAGTAAAGTATAAGAAATTTATCAAAGATCACACAGCTGGTAAGTGGCAGGATTGTAATTCTAATCAAGAAGATCTGATTCCAGAGTACAGGTGTTAACTGCTACCTTATACGACTCCCTGCTGGAGAGTTTATGTACACAATGTAATGTAAATTACAGTGTTTTGGAGGGTGGTACAGAGTAGGTGTTCAATATAAGTTTCCTCCTCACATACATGTTTATAACACACTTGCCAATGGGCACAGGAAGTAACTAACAGGTGTTGTCCATGACAATCCCGCCTGCAAGAAATTTTTATAGACAAAAACCCTGTAATAACTTACATGGAGGACAGCTATCAGCCAAGGAAAGGCTAAAGGTAAACTGGCTTCAAATAACTCATTTGTAATCTAATAATGGAAACCCCTAATCATTAAAAGAAAATTGCGATGACAAGCCCGCTACGCATCAGCGCCTGGGACAACTGCTAAGACATGAGGGCAATTTTTTCAACCACTGACTGAGGCACACTGGTGTAACCAAAGAGGGCAAGCAAGCACCTTACTTTATACCACCTGGTCAGGCCCCTTAAAAACTTGAGAGAAGAATGACAGGAATGCAAAGGACAGAGAAATGATGACACTTGAGATACAACGGAAAAAACTGGGGGTCACTGCGCAGAGTAGCAAAAGAACGATGTGAATGCCCCTTGTCAAGGACATGGCAGATATGGTGGAAATAAGACTAGACTAATTAAATGATTCAACTCTGAAATCCTGCATGGACAGTATTCTTGCCATTGAATATTAATTTCTTTATTATTTATTAAAGTGCCTATTATATGCGTGATTCTGTATCAGACACCAAGAATATAGTGATGAGAGCAAAACAGACCCAGCCTTCATGGAGTTTATAGTCATTAAACAAGATAATTAAGATCTTCAGGCATCAACCAAGAAAATACAAAAGATACTCAAAAGATACTCACAACTTGTGGTGCTGGGTCCTGGAGAGACAAGAGGCAGTGAGTGATCTAATCTAAGCCAGAAGGACAGGGCAAGGGAAGTGACACTGAACAACGACATTTAAGTTGAGGTCTGAAGAATAAGAGAGTTAGCCAGGTTAAAAAAAAAAA